TAAAGATCAGAACAATAAATCAATTGATCTGGTGCTCGACCCGCCTTCTTCCTCGTCCATGCAATTACCACGCTGACAACCTACGATCGCCAAATTAATGTTTGTATGTTAAATATGCTGATGATGTGGTTGTTGGCCAAAAGTCAAGTGTATTTCCACGTATTGGCAGATGACATGGACCACGTCTCAGCATGATCGTTTGCCAATGGCCTTCTACTAAACGGCCAGAAGTCAGTCTAGTGTGTTTTCCGACTGCGACCCTCTCTCAGTCCTGAATCCTTAGACATTCTGCCCAATGAGGTATCCTCCTTCCGCTACCTTGATATTACTCTGAGATCTAATCTTTTATTTACTCCTTATATTGAAACCCTCTTCAATAAAAAATTCGTAAATTTCTATATTATAACCGTCGGTCGCGTTCATATGACGCCCTCCAAGTCCTAATCTGGTGATTTATAGATGCCTGCATTCTTCTTTCATTCTCTACTGTTCGCCGGTTATTCTTTCGGCCTTGCTAAAAAAATTTGTTGACTTTAAAAAAATATCGTTTGAAAGCTCTCTTCAAACGCCAGTGTTTCTTATGCTTTTTAGCTGATATTATAATACAACGACATTTTAAAAGTGTCAAACAATTTGCCGACCGCATTCTTAATGAGGTTGCTCATCCACTTCACTCTGAACTAATGGCTGCGAAGACAACGCGTACGATGCACCAAAGTTTCAGACATATCTGTTGCCGTACATCGGCATATCAGCACTCTGTACTCCCATTACTAGCATGCTACTTCACGTGTGAAGAAACGTAAGTAAAATTGATTTGTAGGGGCCCTCTAAATATCTATTCCACGCCCCCGCACCACTGCTTAACGTATTTTGTGATCAAACATTTAATTCTTGGCTAGAGAGCGTAAATTAATATGTAATTGTGGAGGAATTGATCAAACAATATTAAATCAGATAAGATTATTTTCAAGAAAAGGCATCCTTTGGGAAAATGAGTAAATTTATTCAGTAAATTTTTGACACTGGATCTCCAGGTCGTCGCCAGAGTGGAAAAAATCTGCAAAGAACTGTTCTTTGCACAAAAATATACTCATTTTCCCAAAGGACGCCTTTCCTTGAAATTGCATTTCTTGGAGTGTCTGTCTTCCAGTTTACATGAAATAAGGTTATATTTGTTTTAATATGCTGAAATAGAATCAAATTCGATCAGCATAAACTTCTGTTGCGCAGGATACGAACGTCAATCGAGGGAAATTTTACCATATTCAGGCCGAATTTAAAGAAAATGGAAATTCGTCCTCCTATTGGTGGAACTTAACAAAAACATTTCAACTCAGGTTACCGAACATTTAAAAGTAATTTTTTAAATATAATTTGACGGGATTTTTGGGACCTCTAAGATCAATCCTGCCAATTTAATTATCAAAAGGCGGAACAATCATATGTAAAGGAACATTTCAGTTTATTTTGGCCTGTCTATTTAATTCTTTTGGCTTGCATATCAGGCTTTTTGTTATGCATCATGCCTCGCAGACAGAAGATAAAGTTAAATCATCATCATCCGGATCGAAACCCTTTTAAGGCAAGCAGCACCCTCTTCTAAAAATGGTCTTCGATCATGTTTGTCAAGTCCTGCAGTCCCACGGCATATTCGTTCATTCGCGTTTGGCTGTGCATACAGCCACGTAGTCCCTCCTACATCGGCCAACGCATTTATAATACATGCTATGTATACCTTAGATCCAAATTCGCAGACTTTATGTATCAGTGCTCGTCCATTTTTGTCCTTTCTCCGTCTGATCGCTTGAAATAAAGACAGAACAGTTAATTTTTCGTATATTACGGAGGTGGTACATCTCCTTCGCCCTAGTTTCCGGACTTTTAAAAATATATTCCAATCCATAAAATGAAAACATTGGTCTGTGATAGATAATGTATCGAAGATGCAAGGCTTTTACTATTTCTTTCTCCCATATTGAACTAAACGTCTGCACATTTGTTCCTTAAATTGTTGATAAGAATATTTGTTTCGTTAATGAACGCTATACCGATTAATTAGGTTTCGGATACAGACCAAATGTATATTGAAATGTCAAAAGCCCCATTTAGTCGTTAAATCTAATTAGCAATAAGGGGAACAATTATCTAATAGGAACATTTTCAGTTTACTTTGGCCTGTCCATCTAATTTTTTTTGGCTACCATATCAAATGTGTTTTGTTATGTATTTTGCCTTTATGCAGACGATCAGGTTGAATCGTCCGAAATTAAGAACCATCAAGAACCGGCAAGTAATACCCGACTGTAAAAATGGTTTTCAGTCGTGTTTGTCAAGTCCTGCAGGGCAGGAGGCTACGGTGTATTCGTTCTTTCATGTTTAGAGGTACATAGACCCATGTTGTCCTTCTCCTTGAGCCGACACATTTATCATATATGCTATTTTAACCTTTAATCCAAAGTCTCAGACTTTATGTGTCCATGTATGCAATGAAGAAGTAACTTGGCGGCCGTAAGCCATGGCTGTTCCACGACTTTCTCGGGACCGGCCTACCAGTTGGCATATGCACATTTTTACAATTTTTTCCAAACAGGTTTTGCTTTAGGATCTACCGTCTATTATATTCGTCATCCACTATTTGACTCTGTGATAACATTTGGAGGTCAGAGAGCCCTCCAAATGACATTGCGTCCCACCGCGTGACTGTCGCGCTAAACTTTGAAAGTTCAGCATTCTCAACCATGCTACGGCTTGGTGCCGAAAACATGTCATTTGTGTTTGGCGGATGGAACAGTTTATACGGCGATTGATCACTGAAGAGGACACTTTTTTAGTCGCCTAGAGTCCACGTTCTGACAAGGTCGTCCTATCTTTGATTTAAATTTGCGAAAATTCCCAATGAAAAGTCCAGAAGATAAAGTGCTGAACATACGTTTGTTATCGATAAATTTCGCGTCAGGCCTTTACATTTATATGGTAAATAAGTAAATAAACTATGCGGGTTGATACATAAATGGTGCGCCGCAGTTACCATGGCCGAAAGCTTATCACCTCTCTCGGCACCTAGTCGCTCCGAACATTGATCAGGTTTTTGATCCCATTCCCCCCCCCTCAGACCTCCCCTCACAACCTCACTATTTTTTCCACTACCCCGCATAGTTTATTTAGTTAATTACCATATAAGTGTAAAGACTTTACGAGAATTTATCGAAAACAAACGTATGTTCGCCAGTTTATTATTTATTTGTTTTTCTGTTTGTCTTGGAATTTCCGTTAAATCTAATCAACAATAAAGGGAACGATTATGTAATAGGAACATTTTCAGTTTAGTTTGACCCATCCATCTAATTATTTTGACTAGCATATCAAATGTTTTATTATGCATCTTGCCTGTTAGACTGAATTATCCAAAATAGGAATATTTCCGGAGGCAAGCAATACCGCCTTGCAAGGATGGACTTCGATCATATTTGTCAAGTCCTGCAGAGCATATTCGTCCTTCATTCACGTTTGGCTGTGCATACAGCCATGTGGTCCCTCCTCCCTGGGCCGACACATTTATCATGCGTACTCTATGTACGTACCTTTAATCCAAATTCGCAGACTTTATGTGTCCATGCACGCAACGGAGAAGTAATTTGGCGGCCGTTCGCCGCATCTGCTGCTGCCCCACGACTGGCTGGCATATGCACCTTCACTCCGCCCTTCCTACCTCTCGTCCCGCTCATCATCAGCGGCAGCCGGCGGGGGGAGGGGGCAAATGCGTAAAACTAAGCGCCGTCGTCTTATGTTTTTCCAAAGTGCAGCATCTGCCGAGTGAATT